GGCGTTCCTCGCAGCGCACGCCGCTCCTCCAGCGCATAAGGCAGATACCAGAGAGATTGCTTTGGGTGCAGAATGATCGATACGCGACACATGGCAGAAATGAGATGCTCAAGCACGTGGTTGATTGCCATTGCGTTGTCACAAGTTTGTCTCATCACCTACTTCACTTCGTTAGAGACGCGAACGATTTTCCAGTCTTGATGAGGGGCTTACAGTCCGGAAGGGAGAATAATCTTCGTGCTTTGGCGAATTTAAATGCATCATTAATGAATGAATGTGCTTGCGGCGTTGTCCTTCATTGACTCGTTACTTCTTCGTCTGCACCTTCGTATGACTGCTGCAATGATACGCATGGCCCTATCAATATCAGCTTTCCACGCTGTTATTGTAGGGCAAAAATGGGCTTTTTCCCGGTTTAGGGGTTCATGAACGCTATTAAGCCTCCTGGTTTAGCGGATAATGACCGCTGAATAAAGTGGTTTAGCGGCGATGCCCTGAATACCGGTAATAAACATTCGTGACACTATGGACCGCTAAACCGGGCCCACGACTGTATGACACAACGAAACCATCTCTATCATAGAAAAGAGTCTGAGACAGATTAGCAATGGATTCATAGCGTCAGAAAGTACCTGTATGTCTACGATTTCCCAGACAGCATAATATTGTATAGTTTTTGTTTTTCATGTACCCTTGACATACAAATTACTTGGAGGAAAATATCAGCTGAAACAAGTTCTGTACAGCGGCATCTGGAGGCGTGTCCCTCTACTGTACCCCACTGTAAAAATACTTCTATACATCCCCTAGGACCGGGTACTGCCTCGAACGGATAACCCTTGTTTGATTCTTTCTATGCATCAGACTAGAACGTTGTGATAGATATAGGAATGCATGCGTATCGCGTGTACTCGACAGACGCACAAGCGGTGGAACCTCGCCCACCGGCCCGAACCGCAACAAACCACGCCGCTCACATTATCCGTCACCTGCCGAGCTCAAAACTGCTACGCTCACACCAGCAGTGCTGCGATATCACCCTCTTGGAGGAAAAATATACCCCCTTATGCTACACACACAGGCGACTGGAGCAGGGTAATGGGCGGCGGTGGCGACGGTGGTAAGGTAAGGTGTGACTTGTGACCGTGCGACTACAGTGAGAAAGAGTGCGGTGCAATTTAACCTTTTGGGCGGCCCGCTGTCCTCTGCTGACGTGCTGCTGTTTACGTATTGCGAATGACGAAGTGGCACCTCGCGCTATGTGGAAGGGCCCTTCATGAAAAGGTCTAGGTCAAGAGAGGCAAACAACCCGTGCACGTGCTCAACAGCTCGGCCGTGAGATGTATTCACAGACCTACCCTCATGAAAAACACGTCACTACCGACCCGAGAGAGTTGCTGTGGCATTGGTGCATATTGGATGGTAGTTAATACTGCCGTGCTTCCAGCTCCCTTATGGAATTCGTCGGCTCGCCCACTTGCTTGACTATTGAGCATACCGATGCTTACAGTAATACTTTACCGTTGACCCACACAAACCCAAACCATGAGGATCGCGGCACTGTGCGGGTGGTGATGTGAAATACGAACATTGCCAACGTCCAGCGTTGCGCTCACGGGATTGATTCTGGTACACTTGCCGGACGGTCAGAACCCTTGCACACGTTGGCTGGGAGAAATGAGCACCGTACCGACTCTATGTAGAGGAAGACATCGTTTTCGCGAGCAATTGGCACATAGACTGGTAGGGGGGAGAGAGGAGAGAGGACAATTCGAATTTTCGAACTTCCGATCCACGCACACCTACCTGTCGTACCTCCCAATAGCCACCGCTGTCGCCGAATCCTTGCGGAATTGGACATTGGATAAAAGGTGGTGTGCGTTGTCTTGTTTCCAACCTGAGTCAGAGACTATTATTTACTGTAGGTCGTCTCTATGGTCCCAAGTACCCCCGCGACCCTCCTGAAGAGGCAGCCCGCGGACTAGGCGCGCGTGTGTGATTTGTGTCCCACCAGCGTGTGTGGCTTCTGTCCCACCAGACTAGACGCGGGAGTGAGGTTATTATGAGCCGCGGAGTGCGAAGCGCGACATTGTTTTCCTTCATCCCAGGAGGGAAAAAAGGCTCTAGACATTGTCCTGTTCCAACACGATGCATGGTCCCCAATCTTGATTCCCGGGGGGCCTAAATAGCCCTCCTTTTCTACCAAACCAAGACCTGGGCACCGATTGACGATCTGTTGGCTTCTGGGGAGGAAGAAAAATAGGGCACTCCTCGTCACACCGGTTTTCCCGCGCTTCGACAACAGATGGTCGTGCTACACAGGCATCTGTGCCCAAAGTTCGAAGGACATTGCTCTCCCTATCCCCTGGGTTTCGGCACGAGAGCGGGCCCACAAAAGCGAAGATCTCACGCGCGCACGATTCAAACCAGTAGAAGAAACAGAGAGAAAAAGACGCATCACCGGCAAAAAAATGCGTCACCGCTGGGACGCCGATCCGAGGCCAGCTAGGAAAACCAGGAGGGGCCGAGCCCATACGACCTGCGTGCCGTGGAACTAGTCATGCGCCATTTGTAACCTGACGGGTGTTTTTTTATGTAACGTGGCCCCAACTGACTGCTCAACCAAGCAATAGAGTGGTGAGCTCGCTCATACACAACAATAACATGCACCTTCTTCCCAAGCCCAGAGCACACTTATCATCGAGATAAACCTTCGAGGGCGTGACGGTCTACTGCTGCGCGTTATCAGAATGGTTGTCTGGGACTGGTTATGGCTGCGTACTTGCGCCGCGCTGCTGACTGTCTTCGCAAAGCCGTCTGCCCTGCCTGCTGTTGCTGCTGCTGGGGCTCTCGCGTCAAATATTCATGGCCATCAACGTTTTTTTGTGGTGAAAAAGTGGTATCAACGTAGACTGCTTGCTTTCACTTCGCGGGAACTTCGGCAGGCTTGAGACGATTGTGGTGGTTATGTTGTCAGCCTGGTGCACCTGTCTGTCACGTATCTGTCTGTCACAATCCTATGTCTACGCCGCTGCTGCTGGTGTTCCTCGGCGCTGTGCTGTGTGACACGCTCACCGCCAGGTATATGCCGCACGCGTGCCTTCTCCCGATGTGCGTGTTGGCGTCAACGGAAGCGTAACTGCCACATGAAAAGTGCATTTTTTCAACGGGTGCCGCATATACAAGCGCCTCGTCCGCCCGTTGTACGCCTCTCCCTGAACAGCTGCACTTCAAACATTTCACGCTGCTGTGTGTGGGCCTTAGTACATCAGCATCGCAGATATTGACGACTGCATGGTATTGAGTCGGTTACCCCGCGGCTCATTACCCCGCTCTATCTTGTGCCACTCGCCAGTCAGGATTTTACACGGTGGAACGAACACATCGTTCTCGGCCATGCAGGAACACGCGACAAGCAACTCGGATGGACTAGATTCCACAAACGAAAAGTCAACATCCATATTGCTGATGTGAATGGAGGTTGGCACGTTGCACTCGTTGCGTTGCTAGTTCCGTGAGATCGTGTGTTTGCGTGTGTCGGTGCCTCCTGCTTTGTGACGGGGCCGTCTTCCTCTCTCTCTCTCTTGCTTATTAGGCTAGCTGCCTACATGTGTTGAAAAATTTATCCCCAGCAAACGTTTACTAAAGTCTAAGTATGAAGCGGTATCAGGTATGCTCACAGAACAAGGCCCGTCTACTCGCACCCCCGTCCCCGTAGGTCCTTGGGCACGTCGGGCGAACGACCAGTCACAACCATGGAGTTGCCGGGGGAGGGCACCGGCCACACTCTTCAAGACACGGCGGGCATCACGCTTCAGCATCACAGGGGGGAGGGGGGGGAGGGGGGTCGACATCCGCCGATCATGCCGGGCCCCCAGATCACCAAGGTGCCCACACACATCGGCAGTGGGGTTACCTGCCTCCTCATTGCGTACGAGAGAAACGAGTTGCTTGCCTCGCGTTTGTCTCTCGACGCGGGATCTTCGTAGATGCACCCACCACGAAGTCGGGCGTTGAGCGAGTCTCGGGGGCAAGCTGAGCTGAAGTGGTGTGGAGTGTTTTTTTGTTCGTCCGCTTTGAAATACATGTGTCCGAGGGATATACTCGCTTTCCTCCATGCCCAAACGGAAGATCGGCGTGTTTTGGCCACGGTGCTGCTGGAAAGTTGGCCAAAGGGGCTCAACATGCCCGCACGAAGAATGCTGTCTTTGTTGTTAGATTCCGCCGTTGAATTGGCGCATGCAACGTCGGCGGCGGCATCCACATAAGCTCAAACATCCCCAGAAACCCTTTTTCACGCACGGGGCATCTTTCTGAGTGAGCGTGGCGGGGTTGCAACACCGCCACAGCACGCAGCTCCACCCTCGCGGGACGTGCGGGAGTCATCAACTGCCTGTGGGGCCCAGCAAAACAAACCAACGTTCTGCAGCCTGCCGGATCGCGCGCGCGTATCTTATTGATACGAAGGACAATGCTCTTGCACAGGGCAAGGTTGAGCACAACCCTGGGAAGGGTTGAATACCACAGGCATTCTATCCTGTCCAAAACGTTGTGCTCTAACCTCTGCGCATTACAGAGTGGAGCAGCACCTCAACGTTATGTGTTGGCACCGAACTTTGTCCTTGTTTGCTCCTCTCTCCGAAGACGTGCGAGGGTCCCTGCCCGCCTGAACCCCGAGCGTTACACTTTTCGGCAGGGTCCCTTGAGGACGAACCGGGGCCGGGGGTCACACAGCAGGGAACGCAACACGGGATTTCCATGTTGTGTGTTGATTTTTCCTTCTCCGATCTCAAAGCAACAAACAATCGCTACCCCAGAGCCCCCAACGCCCGAAGATGCTTTGTCACTCCGTGCGGAGAAATAGTTTTACGGAGTGCAACAACAGATTCTTCGCATGGTGGAAATGGCGGTTGAATCAGGAACAATACCACCACCACCCCCTCCCCGTAACTGCATCGCCACCACCGCCCCAAAATCCCATTCTCACTACGAAACCTCACATGTTATTCTCTCGTTGGTTCCAAATACACGACACAGGAGGCTCCCACGCATCCAAGGCGGGCGGAGGCGGGGGCTCAAGAAATACAGCAGCCGCGGGAGGCGGCGGCGGCGGCGGCGGGGGTGGCGGCGGGGCGGGCGGGGCGGGGGCGGCGTGGAGGGGGGACTTGGCGGGCAAATCGAAGTCGAGCAAGGCGATAGCGGCTCCCGCTCTGCCGTCTCTTGCAAAGTGAGGGGCACGTCTTGTGACCGTGGGTATGGCGCACGCCGCGCGCTGCCCTCTTATCGTTCGTGACTAGTCAGAACGAAAGTTGTCAGAGCAAAAACCTGTGTACGTGCAGCCTTTCCGTGCCTGCTTCTTGTTCTTGTTCTTGTTCTTCTTCTGCTTTCGGTTTTCGTAGAAGACGTCGGCAGGGAGCGGGAAGCTGTTACGGGATTGTACGCAACTCTCCCTACTTGGGCGAAATAATATCTCGTTGCGGCCAAGCCGCATCGTGTCCGTGTTTCCATTCTATCCTTGATTTTTACGTATGGCAAGCGCTCAACAACACAAAGCGTGGCCGGGGTGGAGGTTGGTACCTACCTCTCATGGCCTTGGTTGGACACAGCCTGCTCGGCCGTACGTTGACGTGCCATACACTAAACCGCAGAGTATATTACAGCCAAGTTTCAGAACGGTGTCAATAAACACGAGGGGTTGGGCAGTGAATCACGGTGCCGAGAGGTCGCAATCTGGCGTCTGAACGACCAGTGGGCGAACAGCGCTTGGCGACGTACCTCGGTTTGCGGCGGAGCTCTTGTTGAGTCCTTGGTCTCTCGACGGACAGGGCCAATCGGTTGTGAACAAAACGAAGTGCAGAAAATGTAACAGTGCTCCTCTGCGGCGGATGCAGAAGTGAATCGACTCGGAAACGTCCAGCGTGGGTGGGACATAGGACCTTCGTGGGACTGACGCCACAGCTCGCGACGGTGTGTTATCAGACTATTGGCCACCCGATCCAAAACCATGTCTACTCCACGGGGGCGGGTGGGTGTTTTGCGTAGTATGCTGTTGGTGCACACGATGAACAGAGGGAGTATCGAGATGCCGTTGTTGCTGCTGTGGTTGTTGTTGCTGTCGTTGTCGTCGTCGCTTTTAATGAACCCCGCCCCCTCCGCGAGCCCATCTGCCCGATTCTCCATCCCCGATGTTGCGCTGAATGTTTGCAGGCCAGGAGGCTCAGGCACTCGAGCCCCGCAAACGCAGAGCCGGGATGCATTGGGTGGCGGTGGAGGTGGCGGCGAGGGGGGCGGGGGTATGCTTGGTGCGGTGTGCATGTTGATGGTGAGGCTGCTGTCCTGCGGGCGGCGTGGGGCCAAGCTGGCGCCGATGGACGTGACGCTGGACGAGGAGACCGAGGAGCTCGTGGAGCTTCTTCAAGGTGAATTTGCTAGCGTTGTGTGCGCCGTTGTCGTTGTCGTCGTCGCTGCATGGTTGAAGTTGTTCGGTGCTGCAGGAAGATACAACGAGATTCGTTTGCGCTGCTGATGTTCAAAGCCCCGGTCACGGGGGGGAAAGCGTTGGCAGGTCGTCTTGACCAAACTGACTAGTGGCTGATGCCAGGGTGCTACCAATACACACGGTTGTTCTCCACTCTCGATGGGGTTACCTTTATCTTTGCGACTAATACTGTGGTTGCCTTCCTTTTCTCCCACTCGGAGTTACACAACCGGCGGCAGGAGCTGGAGCATGGGGCGTAAGCGAACCTCTTGCTTGCCTTCGTCATTAGCCACTTGGCCACATGCTCGTTTCCTCGAGACGGAGCACCTTCACACTCCTCGGAACGCTTCATCCACCAATCGAAACGTCTTCATGTCCCTGTCGAAGTATCTTGTTGGGGGCGCGGGGGCCACTAAGTTTTGGAAACGGTTTGAAAAGCGAACCTACACAGAGCTTTCTATGCCCTTTCAGAACGAACACTACTCTCGTGCTGTTTTTGTCACTCGATGCCTCTATCGATGGCTGAGCCGGGAGTTTCCGAAGGCCACCTATCGCCAAGCTCGAGGGAGCCTTTTTTAAGATTCGTTCACGCACTTTCCGCAAAGACTTGCTCGCCCTTGTCGTTGTTCTCGTTGATAATGATGATGATGTTGTTGCTGGTGGTGGTGGTGGTGGTGGTGGTGGTGGTGCTGTCGTCATTGTCTTGAAAACGTCCGGCTTTTCGTGCAAACAACGAACGCAGTCTCGAAGGCCCACCTCGCCAAGCTCCGAGGGATCTTCGAGAGCATCGACGTCGCCAAGACCGGGACCGTCTTCTGTTACGAGGTGTTGTCGGCGGTGGACATGGCGCAGTCTCCCTTTACGGACAACCTCTTCCGATTGGTCGGTAAGCATGTTTTGTTTTGCACTTTTTCGAATCGATCGGTATTCGAGCTCGCGCGCTTCCTTTGCTCAGTCTTTCATGTCGAAAATCTGTTTGGTGCTTCCAGCATGCCGGGGAACTCTGTCTGCCCGTCTTACACGGGCAGCCGCGCACGACCGCGCGCTACAGAACGCGCCACGACCCAGTCTAAGACCCTCTACTATAGTTTCACCCGAGGGCGTTCTTACTGTCATGCTACGAATGGTCGCTGTACAAGTCTTAAGTGTAGGGGTTCTTCACCGAGTTCACAACTGGTGCTCAAGTTCTTGAAGGTTTTTTTTTTGGCTCAATAATATGTTAACTCCAGAGTACATAGAAAGTGCGGGCGCGTTCTTGACGTCACGCCACACACCCTCGACCCGTGCCGTTGGCTGTTGTCCTGCCGCTGCTGCGAGCAGGGGTTCATCCGGAGGGGTCTCTGTCGTTTTGCCAGCTCTGTCGGATCTTGATGACGTACTGCGTCTTCTCCAAGGAGGACATCTTGCTCTGTGAGTGGGTTGTGGGTTGGTCGACAGCGAAAGTTCAAGCTGCACTCTCAGTGTGTCGTTTAATGATGACTCGGCCCCGTTCAGTGCAGCAAGCGCACCCTGGTGCTGATGATATCAAAGCTTGCCTGTCTAATGTACAAACGGCTGGATTTTGCCTTCGTTGCTCATGCACGACAAAAGTTGATCGTTCTTCCTCCTCTTGCCGACAAGATCACGGCCGTGCTAGTATTTTGCGAAGTCCCCCTTTGCTGTTGTTTTGTTTTTTCCCCGTAGTCTTGTTTCGGCAGTACGACACGGACAATAGCGGAGCCATCGACGAGAGAGAGTTTCGCGAGCTGGCCAAGACGGTCAACAACGCCTCGCCGATGTTTCCGGGAAATTTCGCCAAGGCCCTGCTCGACTTTGATACGTGAGTCAGGCAACGAGAGAGAAAGAGGCAGACGGAGGGAGGGAGGGAGGGAGGGAGGGAGGGAGGGAGGGAGGGAGGGAGGGAGGGAGGGAGGGAGGGAGGGAGGGAGGGAGGGACAGAGAGAGACAGAGAGAGAGAGAGAGAGAGAGAGAGAGAGAGAGAGAGAGAGAGAGAGAGAAAGAGAGATAAGGTG